GTCATAGCCATGTGACAGACCTGCTCGGCATGTTGGATTCCAACTGTTGCTATTTTTCCAAGGCAGTTCGCTTTGCAAACTTATCAAAAAGGCGCAGACTTATGAGCAAAACTCTCTTCCCAACAAAGACTAGAACCTGGACTTCAAGCTCATTTGAATCATTATAATATTGCGATTGCAAGGCAGCGTTCATACTCCACGATTCGGGCGACTCCGTGAAATCTGCGACCGACACCGTTCCACCGCAATCGTTGGATCGCTGGAACTGCCAAATCATTCTCATCGGGGAGAACTTTCATTGATCAGTGTCTGATTCCCAAGTCGCGTGAGTGAATTACACAATTCCCTATGTATGACCTTTCACACACCGCCACCGAGGCCGTCTCCTTACCCACTCATAATAAGCTGAGGCGAACAAGGTGCACCATCTATATAGGTGAAATGGCGGCATTACTACGATACCCTCAAAATCAACTGCGACCCCTCCAATAGCCCACTATTGTTTTACCGCACTTTCCCAGAACTTGCCATCAGATTAGGCGACGGAGGCTGGGTGAACACCACCTATCTACTATCAGAAATTTGGCGCCTCGTCAACCACAGGATAGCGCGTGTGATGCGAGAAAAGCAACGATAGGAGAAAATCTTCTTGGGGCTAACTGCAACCTCTCTCCTTCAGCGACTAAATCTACCCCTGATGAATTCCGCACAACGAATGTTGTGTCCTGCACTTCCAGTGCAAATGAAGTGAGGGGTAGATGGCAGCCTCGATGGCGTAATGGTAGCACACTAGCTCGCTAAGCGTGAGATCCGAATATGTGTGTTAGCAGGGGCCAACCGTCTTGTAGCATCCCTAGTTCCAGCACCCCGTAACTGTTGGATTTCACCCAGGAACTTCAATGACCTGTTTTTGTGCTATCATAGAATTACGTTGCACTCCACAGACGGATCTTGGTGTGAAAAGAAGGTAAACAGCTAGCATTATTCATGCTGGTTTGCCAGATCGGGCGCCGATCGCTATATTCGTGCCAACCTGAGGCTCACATATTTCACTGACTGGTACACTCACGTCCTCCAAAAGTGATTAGGACATCGATCAAGAACCGAAAAATTGACATCATAATGTTTTTCTCATGACTTCTCTCCTGTTTTTCACGTTAACAGTCCGAGCGATTCAAGGCAAGCAGCCTCGTTTCAATTACTTTCGAATTAGAGTGTCAAAATACTCAGCACTCGCTTTGAAATTCAAGCACCTCCTGAACCCTTCCGTAGGAAAAAAGTCACCGGAAAACACTTCGTCTAGCAGTTTTAATTTGTTCAGTTTTCAGTTGATGCTTTACAAATGAGTCAACGGAACTTTGGTAAAGAGCAAAAGAAAAAATTCATATCCATTTCAGAAACCCAGTGACAGCTATGGATTCGCGCGGTGGCGGTCAATCCGAGGCAAATAGCGACAGTGTAGAAATTTCACCGTCGATAACAATAGAAGAGATGGATAGACAGTCGACTAGGTGAGTTGGAACGAGGTTATGCTCTAACCGGAAGTACCTTAAAGGACCCCTCCAGATGTGATGGATCAACTGGTGACATACCCTATGTGGACGATTCCGATTTTGGTGTATCGCCACGCCCCATCATGGAGATGCAGTCTCAAAGTAAGTTCTTCTCGTTGAAAATCAACTCTAATAAGACCCAAATGAGACCCACTACTAGGTTATAACAAAAAAATATTATGAAAGCCTAAAATGGATAAGAATGGGTTTACTTTCAGTGGCACTGATTGCACGACAAGAAGACAATCATTTGGTGAAACCACCTTATGAAAACGGGGAAACGCAAGATGGCGAAACGCAAGCAATTGAACAAGCAATGACGGGCAGAAACAAGCAACTGGCCAGAACCAAGCAGCTGAGCAGAACCAAGCAACTGAGCAGAACCAACAGCAAGACGAGGAAAAGCCCCCGACTGAAAGTGAACCGGAGCCTACTGAAGCACAGAAGAACCCTCTTCGCGGCGATCGTCCACCGATTGTCAACTCTCAACCAGCAAAGATGGCCAACGGCGGAACATTAAGGAAAAAGGAGAGAAATGTCCGTCTCCAGAATTGTGCTTCTTTAAGATTTTCTCTCAGTACGACTATGACATTCACCTTTTTTTCAGCCTTTTCCCCCTCCCGCCACTGTCACTCGACGTCGACATTCAGCAATGGTTGGCTACTACGGCGACGATAAGCAGAACGGAGATTGTGAGCTATTTTTGAGTTTTCTTTATTTTTAGAGTGACGTTAGCGGTGGTTTTGGTTTGAAAAAGTGCAAGACAGAAGAGAGTAGGGGTAAGGTGTCACTCAATATTCCATCTGACAAATCGTTTTTCCACTTTCAGCTTTTCGCTATCGCTCGCTCAGTCCTCAATCAGTTGGAGCTGCCAGAATCAGGCATTCGGTCTGTGAATCGGCTTTTGCAGGTGAGCAAACTTCGGTCAGGATGTGTAGCTCTAGCGGAAGCCGATACGGCTGATAAATGCGCGTAGTATGCGAGCCACACGTCACCACTCGCTGTCCCCAGTAAAAGTTGTTATCCAGCTGAGTGAGGGCTCTCAGGAGCGTGAAACGACCCGCTGTCGGCCGCGTTTTCTACCGATAGTGCCCGATTTCTGTGTGGTTGTTTCCGCAGCAGACGCTGGGGCGGACGGGTGAGGGAAGGGGCTGGGTTCAGCTTGGCGCCAGCCCGTTTCCCACCAATCGTTGAAGCGCAGGCAAGCGAAATAGTTGGTGGAAAACGGGATGGCGTCGCTCGAAACCCAGCATCCTGACATTCCCTAGCATCTCCAGTTAAAACACTGCAGGAAACAACCAATGGTAGAAAGCCGCCGAGGGTGGGCTCATTCCACTCCTGACGCTGTTCCTCCTGGCAGTGACTGGAGTAGGACCATGTAAACTGAACGCATTTTCCCCGGTCGCCCTTTCTTTATTTGGGGAGTGTGAGGTGTATGTGGGTGGAGATAGGCGATGCTAGTGAGGAAAGGGTGGGGGGGGGGGGGGGTGCGAGAAGTTCGTGAGTTGTATTCGGCATCTTTGCTCAACACCAGGTTATAGAAAGATGCTTCTAAGTATTTAGCTGGCTCGCCTTCCCCTAGAAAAAAAAGTAATGTACCACGGACTTCTAGTTGAATCGTCCACGATCCCAAATCTTAAGTAACAGAATAGAAAAAATCGCAGAAGAAAGAAAACCCTACGTGAATCAGAGGCATTATTCTACGCAAAAAAGCCTATGAGAAGGTCGCTCTCGATCGCCCTCTCAGTGGGTCGATGAGCAAAGTCCTCCTTTTCTTTTTATATGTGCCCTTTATTCGCCGCTATTTTTTCTTTACATTTTTCCTGGGCTATAGTTGAAAGCAAAATTCAGTAAAGAATACGCAAGTGAAATATCTGGTTCCACAAGCCAACGACTCAACAAAACCTGAGATGCAATAAATCTTACACAACAGTACTACACTTTATTTCACATAGACCAAAGGGGCGTGGCTGAAAAAAGTAATTGGTGGAAGGAGACGTCATTACTCTTCCGTCAGTGCTTGCAGGCAATCTCCAAGAAAAATGCAAAAGATACGTGACGAACATTGCGTCAGACCGTTTTTTGTTCTTCTTCATTCACTGGTTGATGACAGATGTCACTTTCATCATGCAAGCTGTCCCTCTCGCTTCCAGTCATGTCAGACACTGTCTTTCTTTATTGCCTTCTCTATGCTTAGGGGTAGCCCTTTATGGCAGTGCTTCTTCCACTATACGACAGTCTGCAGAGACGTCATTAGAATGTCCATTAAATTAGCTATTCTGGGAAATATTGGTTCTGGCTACCGTAAGCACCGAGGCGATTCACCGGCTCGCGTATAAATTTCCGCAATACCTTAGCATTTGTAGGTGGGCGTTCTGGCTCAATTCACCCAGCTTCACAGGATAGCTGTTGACGAAATGCTATTCATTCTGCAGACGATAGACAACTGAATTTGTAATTCAAATCGGCAGATGCTCTCAATATTCCGATAGATGGAAACCGAAAGGTTGTTGTTTCCATTTAAAGGCAGACGCAGACTTCGGAGATAACAAAACGTTCGTAGGTGGCGGGGGCTAGAAAAAGAAGTGAAAGAAAAAAAAGATAGGAAGCCATCAAAAATCTTCCAGTAAGGCTCTCTATGTGAAAAGAGACAAAGTATTGATGTGGATATTGGGCGAGAGGCCAGAGAATGCAGCGAGAGAGCATGCAAAAGAGCAAGACAGCAGCTAACACATCTATATTCATTGTGGGCGGCGTCACTTGCGTAACCCTATGCTTTACCGCCGCTACTTTACCACATTTTGACGTGGAGATCATACAGATGTTGCATTTCCTCTCGCGTACCATTGGCTAAGAAAACTACGTGTAATCGAAGGCTCTGCCCTTTAGGGGATTCGAGATTTCCCACAGTGTTCGCCTAAAATTTCACAAACGTTGTGGGCACCAACGACGTTAAAGAGCACACATTCCGTTAATTAGCGACTGGATCTGTAGTGATAGTCGGTGCTGACTTTTCTAGAGAGGGGGAGGGGGGAGCGGGCAAAAAGGCACATAGTACCTCTCCTTCTCTTCCTCAGCCTGCAAAGCTAACGCTGAGAGCCAAGACGTCATAATCGCTCTAGGCCTTTGCTGGGGGAAAAGACGCAATGCGCTGTTGAATTCCCGTGGGGAATAGTCGACAGCGCCTGTTGGGGAATCCCCAACAACGGTGTGCCTTGGTATCCCCATCATGCGGTATTGGATTATGTGGCTTCTCAGGGAGCTTTCTGTAAGCCATCACATAAAGATGAACGTGCATACAACAGTACTAGACAAAATGGGGTAGACGTTGGCAAACACATGCCAGTTCTTTTTTGGGTGGGGTGGGAAGGGACCGAATAGTGACAAAAAGAGCTTTTGGTGGAGGTCATGGCGCGGAAGGCCAAATAAATAAAAGGCTACATAGGGCTCCAGGGCTCCAGGTTAGATGACCCACTCATGCAGACGTGAGAGAAAAGCAGAAGGTTTATGCGATCGGAGGGATCTAGTTAAACCGTTGGGACCATTGGGAGACGGGCAATTCCACAACAGGGGGTCGTATTTGGTTGTTGGAAGAGGGGAGGGGATCGTACTTGGTCTGAGAAAAATTTCTCGTGACAGTTGATTTTTCTTTTTTCATGGACTCTACACAAGGGGGTATCTCCTTTTTGGCCTTCTAAGATAGGTTGCTGACTTTTCGAATTTTCGTGGTTTTTGTACTATTCACCCCCGCCCCCGGCTCCACAGCAAAATTTTTGCGATAAACTAGGAAAGTTTTCGAGAAATTGGGGAAGAACTGGTAGGAAGTTGAGAAGATCTAAGAAAGTGCTAGGCAAGATGGGGAAGAAGCAGGGGTCGTACGGACTCGACCAAAATCCCCCCAGCTAATAATGTGCAAACTTATCCCAAAGTTCAAAAGCTAGGTGCACTGAAACTTAGCTGGATCCGACCTCACTGATCGTGCAGGGACATCATAGGGCTCCTGAACGCTAAAGGGGGAGCATGTTTCTAAGTATGTATTAGCTCTGATGTTACAAAGAATAAAATGTTCACTAAGGGGTAGTTCGGCGACGGGCGGGGGCATTTTGCACTTTTGCTACTTCCCATCGACATGTCGACCCATCGAGAGAGCCATTTCATGAGCTCACAGGTTCTTCTACGGATCAGCTTCACAAAAGTTCACCGGTTGCACCAGAGTGAAACATGTAAACCGGAAGGTCGTGAAGCAGCGAAAGTGCAGAACGCCCCCGTTGCCAAACTGCGCCGTTCACTAAGGCGCGTTCAGACTTCGCGACGGCAGCGCTTCGGTCGCGCGTTCGACGCGATCGATGCGCATGCTTTCGACTGCATCGATCGCGTCGAACGCGCGACCGAAGCGCTGCCGTCGCGAAGTCTGAACACTGCCTAATGATTCTCCCTTGGTGCGCGCCATGCATTGGTTCGCCATTCAAAATCATTGACTGTGACTACGCATTTGAACGAGTGGGTTGCTAAACCTGGGCGTGAGATTTGCTCTGAGATTTCATTTCCTTACCATACGGTGGTGCTATTCGTAAGTACCTCCCTTCCCTCCATCTCCTAATGGCGACACAGTGGCGTGGAGTTAATGAATAAGTTGCCATTGTATCCAAAGAACACTGCGTGGCGACCATAGTTATGTGGCAGCTGTCCACGGCTGTCCGCG